ACAGACTCAATACCACACAGAAGAGATTTAAGTAAGTTATCTAGGATCCTTGGACGAGCAAGAGCATAATTTTCCCTTTTCTTTCATGCAGTCTCCTTGCTTCATTCAGTACACATCTTTCAATCTCTCCAGCAAGTCAAAAAGATTTATACAAGCAATAGTTTCTTGACCCTACTTCATTCCCAGAGCTATCCTTATTTATTTATTCCTTATTTATTTATTTATCCTTATTTGTACTATCCTTAGTTATACTTCCTTATTCAAAGAGCTGGAAGTCATCTGGTCCACCCAGTTCCTCTGGGCAAGATAAAACTACAAGGTGTCATTCTTTGATAGACTTGCCTAATTCTAGTTGTAAAGATTCCAGTGGTTAAGATTCAATGAACTTCTCAAGTAGTATTTTAATGCTTCACTCTCCTTATTAGTAGAAAGTCTTCCCAGTATATAACTTGAAACTTTTTTGCAGCAGTACAAGCCAGTTATTTCTTGTAGCATTCACCTTGATATTCTTTTTGGATGCGTTTCAGAAACCTCTTACATACTTGACAGTTATTACGTGAGTCGTCTTTTCTAAAGACCGAGCATCCCCCCTCCTCCAGTCTCTTCTCAGCGATTGTATGTTCTAGGCCTCTGAACGTTCATTTTACTCTTCTTTGGACTCTTTCCAATTAGTTCATGTCTTGCTTGAAACATTGTCTCAAGGCTGGACATAGCGCTCTATTTTAAGCCCTGCCAGAGCTGCCTGCAATTATTTTACATGTCTTGTAGGCTGCAGTCCTGTTTATATATCCTAGTATGGCATTTTTTGTACAGACCATGCAATTGTTGACAAAGATTTTTTTTTTTCTTTCTGGAACTAATGCCTTACCAGGTGTTCAATAGCTTGTATTTTTAAGGTGATTATTATGTCTTCCTAAGAGTGGAATGTAGCAATTTTCTGTATTGGATTACACTATTTTTTAGCCTGTTCCTATAAAATAAGAATATTGTGATTATATTCCTATGATCCAAAATTATTCTAGCTTCTTGCATGTTTAATACAGTATCTTTTATTTCATCTTCTGGCCATTAATGAAAATATGAATTAGTTCTAGGATTGTGATATACCCTTGCAGAAGTCCACTCAGTGCAGCCTTCCTTTCTAACTGTGAGCTATTGATAGCTACTCTCCGAGGATCATTTTCAATTAGCTTTGCAGTCATCTTAAAATATGAGCACACAAAAAGCATGCTTGCCAATATGCCTCACAAGGTTGTAATATTGTAAGAGAGCAGATGAGCCTTGATAAAATCAAGGTACTTGCAATCCATTACACCTCAATTTTCTAGAAGCTCTTCCTTAAAATGAAATAGACTTGTTATGGTTTATCTGATTAACGACATGTAGTGTGGTGGATCTCCTTTCTTCTAAGTGCTTGCAAGTTATTTGAGTAGTTGTTTCTGTATTTCTCAGGAATTGAATTTAAAACTGATTTTTCCATGATTTCTGAGATCTAATTTTCCTTCCTTTTGTATTTTTTTCATTCATTCTAGTCTAGCAGTACGTTTTCTATCCTTCACAAGTTCTCAGTGACTAAGTTTGTTCAGTTCAAGTGTACAAGGACGTAAAATGAAGTGCCTCTAATTTGAAAACTTCTAGATTATATAAATATTCTGTGAACCATGCTTTCCTCACTCAGTATAGAGATTTTTACCTCTATATAAATGGTATTCATACTGACATGTTACTTCTTTCTGTAGAGGATTCCTGCATTTTTGCAGTCATCAAAAAGCTTTCCCACGTCAGGAGAAGGTTTAATCAGTTTAATCCCCAGACATTCAAGGTTTTTGGATGACATGCATACTGTCATTCACATTTGAAAAACTAGGTCAGTTCGTCACAGGAGGATGATTTTAGCGTTTTCTAAAGGTAAACATATATACATGGAAATGCATGATATTTACCTGGAACTTTGTTTACAAATACAAGGAAAGTTGGAATTATTTTGCAGGGGCAAAAGGAATAAATACATTGTGTTCTGTCTTTGTATTTATGACAGTCAGACACACACAATAACTGTTTTTTCCTTAAATTTTCACATTTTTCATTATGTTGCCATGGATCCTTTTTTTTTCCACTCCGTTTTAGGGAGAAAGTAGGCTCTTTATCCATGCAGAATATACAGAGATCAGTTTCCAGCTGCTGGCAGATAGCAACTTTGGAATGGAAAGTGACAGAGTTTAAAGAAATGTATTACTGTCATGTAATCATTCTCTCTCTAACAGTAGTTATGAGAACAGAGCTCATGTATACCAAAATAACATATACCGTAGTAATTGGTCCAGAAATATAACTATTCTCATCTTTACTGGAATAGCAGTAAAGCTGCCTGAGTCATGTCTAAAGATGACATATATTCTTTGATGTACTTCCCACAGATTTTAATTGCCTGTCTGTAGTTCACTAAATAACTATTTAAGGCAAGTGTTGAAGAATGTTGGATCCATTTGAAACTAAACAAGTTTTCAAGGAGGCAGAATATAAGTATACAAATTGAATTTTTCTGTGGGAAGCTCGATAGTACAGAAACAAGGAACTTTTCATCCTGGAATATGTTGCCAAGAGGCTCTGACATGGTAGATATTTTTTGTCTATATAAAAATGCTTTTTAAGCACTGTGCATCGTGTTGCTCTGAAGTCAAAACGACCTATTCTTCTCTATTAAAACAAAATATGCAGGAATTCAAACAGTTGAAACTTCTCAGAATCAAACATACAAATGAGACATGGTGAAACTCCAGTGTAGAAAGCTGGTATGCTAAGAGGAAAATGGAGTCAAGGGCAGAAGATGAAAAGCTAGAAATGTATATTCGGAAGTAAAATGATATTTTTTTGCAATAAGATGTAGTAAAAATTCCATAAAAGGGATTGGGGTCAAAGTAGCACAAGCAATTAATAAAGAATTTATAAAACCCAGATCAGTAAGGACTATTATGCAATCCAACAGATAAGTTCCTTGAAAATATCATGATTTATTTTCCTCATATAAAAAAGTCACTAATAAAAGCAAATAAATTCTAGATATTTTATTGCTTTACCAAACATTATAATTAACAGTTTTGTTCATGTATTTTTCTGCCATTTAAAGTATTCAAATATTTTTTCCCCGAAAGGAATGATTTTGTCACTGTTCTTACTACTTCTTCTCCTGTGTGCTACCACTTTTCATCGTGTCCACATTCCACAAATTTCTTTTGCTATGGAATTTTTCAGATATGTTAATTGCTTTGCTGCCAGTTTATTGAGACTACTGTTGAGGGAGATCTGATCTGCCTTTATTTAGCTGAGCTGTCTTTGCAACTTCCTGATGCACTGTTAATATGAGGAACAAGGACAAGACATTTGAACCAGAATTATCTTCCCAGTATCATTAGCCATCTGTTAGAACAGCCTGTTGACTCCTTTCTAGCTCATGCACCCTGTTTTTGCTTTGTTATTCGAGAAGTGGAATCCAACTCTGCTGCCTGGCTGTCCATAAAATAATTTCAGTGAGTGTAAAATTCTAGCATAGTTGTGAATGGGAATACTGATTTGGAAGTGTTATGTACTGGTTTCACACTCACTAACCCAGGTATCAGTGCCTGTGGCAGGTGTCAGGCATTGAGTAAAGTGTTTCTTAAGATTTAATAGGGCAATGTTACTTACAAATGCAATTGGTTAGACACCTTTAAAGAAAAATAAATCTAAGGGGCTAAGCTCACACCTCATACCAGTTATGGTAGCTGGAGCGATTCTGAAGTATTTTACTTTTTTTACTTACTCTTTTATTCTTAATAGCTACAATGTATGCTCCCACCCTTAACTTGTTAGGAGAGAGAAAGACTCGAAGCACTATTTGAAATCAACTTTAGTGTTTGCCAGAAATCCTGATAATTGTATAATGGAGTTATATTAAACTGGAGTTAGATACCCAAACAGAAGATGAGTCAGGGGATGTTAGGCAGAAGTTCTGGTGAGATTGTTTTTCTGAAGTTGCATGATGCATAACAAATCACTTTCATCATATTTTTGTCACTTGGACTGGTTTTCTGAGTCTTTTTTTTTTTTTTTTTTTTTTTTTAAGTTTTAGGTCCTCCATGACCTGGCTAATGAGCTATCTTCCATTCTTTTAGGAAAATGTGTTCTCCATAATCATCTTCCTCCTTTCATGTTCTATAAAAGCTCTCTTTAGGTTCATAGGTTTTTCCTCTTAGGTTTTTTTTGTTTGTATTTTTTTCTGCGATCACACTGGTGAAGCATCCTACAGGTAGATTTATTCCCTAATACCAAGAATGTTTCTTTATGAAGACAAGTATAGCTCTTCAGTAAGACAAACAATGTTTACAGCACTGTTGTTTTCTATGTATGTAATCTTTGACCATGTTTTTTCATATCCTTGGAGCAGTAATTCCGTTTCCTGGTTATAGTTATTTAATTTTTATATGTTTTCTGAATCAGAGCTATAAATATACAGATCAAAACCAGGCAAATTATTCTGTTTCTGTGCGAGAAGATTGTGTGAAATTGCATCAGCTATAGCTTTCTAGTTTGATATTGTTTTTTACTAGGTTACTATTTTCTTAAAGGTACAAATTAAGTAATAGATCCTACACCCTGTTAATTGATTCCTATCAATAATGAATACTGATGCTTTGTTTGTTTGCTCATATAATACAAATAAAACCAATGCATTCTGATTCCATTTGATATGCTTACTCAAATCAGTCTAACAATGCATATGTATTCATACTTGAATTGATCCTGAAACTGCAGCCAAGTTAGGGAAGAAGAACTTTTTACCTTCATCTAATCTGATTCCTCCTCTTAATAAAAAGGTAGTGTACACTGCAGAACTTTTTCCTAGCATGTATATCTGTAAAGATTTAAGCACCTTATGAAACATTCCTTCAAAATACTTAATGAACTATAATTTGTATTATAAAAGATGTTTACGTTAATGGTAGTCGTTCTCTCTCCTACAGTGCAAATTAGACTATCAAGCCTGTGTCTCGGGAAAAATGATCTCGGTGAAATGCGAAGGACGTTGCCCCTGCCCTTCTGACAAATCCACAAATGCAAGCAAAAATGATAGGAGAGGTGAGTGATGGTGATTTGTGTAGTATTTTTGATAGATTGTTTTTAAAAAGAAATAAGATTTTGTTCATAAAGGAATACAGTCATCACAAACACTGATTATGCTTGAAGAAAACCACTTTTATTTTATTCAAAATTATTTTCTTTGCCTTGGCTTCTGAAATTGTGCCTACAGTAATGCACCAGTGTATTTTTCAAATATGGATATTTTACTATGAGTCATTGCTGTTCTATTATTATTCTTTAAGACTCCTCAAGATGCTTACAGCTGTACTTAAGACACAGAAAAATGTGTTTTTGCTCCTCTGTGTTTTCAGTTTAATGTGCAAGAAAAAGAAGTGTGATGAAAAACAGAAAACAAAAAAAACCCTTTAGTGATGCTAATTGGAGTAGCAGTTGCACTTTAACTATGGAACTGTATGTAGAGGCTGTCAGAGAAAAGTGAGTTCTTTGTTTGAGAAGTGGATGGGAGTAAATTAGCTTCTTTTTGGACAATGAGTAATGTGTGAGATTAGGCTCCTGGAAAGCGTGGTTGCCCTGCACTGCTTCTTACCAAGTGATGCAGTTGAAAGAAAAGATTTGTGGCTAAGCTTATTTATATATCAGTGACTCCCAGGTGAGTTTGGAAGGTTGTTGTTAAGCAGAACAAGCAGATCCCTTCTTTGAGGCTCCTGAGTAGATAGTCATAGTAGTATGAGGTTCTAGGCCATCTTTATAATATGAACCTGAATTAGACAAAAATAGCATGACTGAGCTCTGCATTTTGGTATTCCTTTAAACAGAACTTTAGATGTCTTTTTTTCTCCTTCCTGCATAGTCACACCTGTGATGACCAAGCCAAAATCTTTATTTTCAAATAAAAAAAAAAATACCAGAATTAGTTTTTGAAGGTTTTTTTCTTCCTACAGCAACCCTCTAAAGATAGAAGAAACCAGTGCTTACACTCCCGGCTTACGTCGTGTTAGTATTTTATAATGTTAATCTGTTAATCTATTAAATTTCATGCACTATCCCATAGTTATTGTGTAAGACAATCCATATCATTTCCATTATAAACTGTAGTAGCTGTCAAAACTATTTTTTCTTCTAGATTAAAAAATGAATTAACTAATTCTGAACACTGAAATCAGAGAATCACTGTGAACATCAGGCTATGTGCAGGCATACAAACCAGTTAAAAATTGCTCTGGGAAATTTTTAAGGCATTAGTTTACGATTTCATGTAGCAGCTGTAATCATAACTTGAAAAAAAAATCTATCACCTGCTTACATTACTAACCCAAATGGAAAAAAACTGTGGAAGAGCCGGCCTTACATAGTTGATGCTGCCCCTTTGATAAGACATAGAGTACAGCACTAATGTAGTTACATTTATCACCAGTAACAATTTCTGCATCTGCAACATAGATGTGGGGGTGTTTGCTTAACAGTCGGCACAAAGTGAAATTAAGAGAAGCGTCTGAGGAGCATCTCTGTGAACAGTAGGCCTATTATTCTCCAGTGTTCATTTTTTTAATGTGGCATCACCCTCAGTTTTTAACAAAATGAAACAAAATTAGCACTTTCTCTGCTGGAAGCAGTTTCACCTGTTTCATCCTAGTGTGTATTTTTTTCAAGGACAAGCTAGTTCTGATACTCTAGCATGTAAACGTTGACAACAATCTACAGATAAATTTTATTGACTTCAACAAAATGGAATTACTTTTAATGAGTACTCCTAGGGATGAACTGTTCCTGATGATTTTTACTATCAAGGGATCAAGATTACTTGTGCTTAGTTATGTAAAAGAGAAAGAAAAAAGAGCCTATATGAGCATGGGAATTAACACTAATCCTGTCCTGGCAGATTGTCAGAGCAAGCAAAATACAGGTTTTTTCCAGCTACTGGATTTTACTGGAACATTGAAATTTGAATGTCATCTTTACAAAGCCAAAGGCCAGGAGACATGTGAAATATAAAAGTGAACTAAGTGTCATTACTGAATTTTCAGCCATTATTGTAACAGAATACCAGTTTTATTATAACTTATATGTGAGAACCCAATTACCTTTTTTTAAACTGAATTCCGTTAAGTGTTCTAGGCTGTGCATGCATATGTGAATTACTTTGAAATTTGACATAGCCGAAGAGGTCCGGAGTAAGATTTCAATGATAATTTGGGTGATGCATTCTTAAAACACGTATCCTAGCCAAAGCAACTTTTCATTTGTTCAGATTGACAGGTTCCACAAATTTTTTTTTGGTGTATCTAAGGAGCAAGATACGTCTGTGAACTTTCCCAAAGTAGTTTTAGTGTGTAACTCCCTACTCCTTTGGGAAGGAAAATTAAACCGTTATTCAGAAAAACAGGTTTGCTTCTCAGAATGTGCTTGAACCTAATCATAAATGCATAGGAAACCCTTGATTGGAAGGGAACTCTGGATTATCTAATCCATCCTTCTGCTCAATGCATGAGACAAGTGGGCATTGCAGTTTTTGTGAAAGCTCGTTTGCTAGTGTTACATCCAGTAACACTGAGCCTGTCCTATATGCAGGTTCTGTCAGTTTGAATCTAAAAATTAAAGTGCTAGAAAGCTTGGCCTAGAACTAGAAGTACAAGTTGGGGAGAGGAGGGAGAAAAAAGGGCACAATAAAATAAAAACATCTTACAGAAATCTTCCTTTGTCATACTTTGGTATTGTTTTTAATTTACAGAAAATAATCTGAGTTTCATATAAACTACAGCACACACTCCAGTAGTTTTTAAAAGCAAAACAAAAGAAAAGAAAAGCAAACAGTGTACAGGCATAAAGGAGTAGGTAAATGGGGAGACGGCTTGAAGGCAGTGTTGGAGGGAAGTATTACTCAGAGTTAGAGATAAATGAGGATGGGCAGTATGGAAGAGAGAGTTGGGTTAGTCAGTTAAATAGAAGCAAACTAAGAAAGAAGTGTAAAATAGGTAAAGAACAAGACACCACTAGTTACAGAGGTGTTAATTAAGAGACGATTGAGAAAACGCTTAGAGGTTCCAATCTTCTTTTCTGGACATATGCGCTATCCTGTTTTTGCCCTACTCTTCTTTTCAAACATGTGCCAGAATCTGGGCCATAGAGATCATACTGGCTGTTTAGAGCCTGTTTTTCTGTGGTTACATGGGACCAGAGACTAGGAAGGCTTCTGTGACAATGTGTGTTTCACAAGATGGGGAAAAATTCTGTCACCTTGGCAGTGTTTGGGCATTTTTTGCTGCAAATATTAGTCATCCTTCTGCTCTGAGGCAGTCTGAGCCCTGTGTTCTTTGTCCATTGTAGAAGATGCTGTGCTAGTTGTGCTCTTCAATATGGTATATAAAAACAAATATGCATGATGCACAGTGTAGGCTTACCAACTAAATGCAGAAGTTCACATTTTTGGAGATGCTTTTAGAACTTGAATTAGCGTCACTGTGTAATTTTGCTGAAAATGCTGTGTTGATATGAAGGGGCCACCTCAGATTTATCTGAGAAATACTTTGCCCTGCAGGTAATTTTTTCTAAGTTCTATCTGATAGCCTTCTATGATGGAATGACTGGCTGGGTAGATGAGGGGAGAGCAGTGGATGTTGTCTTTCTGGACTTCAGCAAGGCTTTTGACACTGTCTCCCATCACATCCTCCGAGGTAAGCTCAGGAAGTGTGGGCTAGACGAGTGGACGGTGAGGTGGCTTGAGAACTGGCTGGATGGCCGAGCTCAGAGGGTTGTGGTGAATGGCGCAGAGTCAAGTTGGAGGCCTGTGGCTAGCGGTGTCCCCCAGGGTCAGTCCTGGGTCCAGTCTTGTTCAGTATATTCATCAATGACCTGGAGGAAGGGACAGAGTGCACCCTCAGCAAGTTTGCTGATGATACTAAACTGGGAGGAGAGGCTAACACACCAGGAGGCTGTGCTGCCATTCAGAGGGACCTGGACAGGCTGGAGAGGTGGGCGGAGAGGAACCTC